CTATCTATCTATCTATCTATCTATCCATCCATCCATCCATCCATATCTGTCTATCTACCTACCTGCTAAAGGATGATATTTTTTCAGGATTCCGGTAGGACAGGATTCAACTTTATTATAACTCACAGGATTGGGATGTGACAGGGCAAAAGGTTAATAGGACCAGACAGGAGCGGGAACCAACAAATAGGACAAAAAAAATGTAATAAAAAAAAAAAAAAAAATTGGACAGGTGCTACTATTTTGTAGTTTTCTTTCAATAAGCCTTCACTCTGGAATAGCAGACTTGCAATGCTGAAAATGCTAAAAATGGTGACGACTCAAAGATGAAGAGGTACTGCCGCTGGATGAAGAACGAGGGTCCTGGTCGGCTGACGTTTGCAGACGACTGAGTCCTCACCATGTAGCCGAATGAACATCTGCCTCAGTGCCGATCCAAATGGGCAGTGCCCACAGCCGCTGCATGGACAGAGATATTTTTGTAAGAATCAGGTCTCAGACAGGAAATGACTGAGTGGAATAAACTGCAACATATTTGAGTTAAACATTTTATTTGATGCATTTTTTTTTGTTTTTTCCCCTCAAATAACCAAAACTTTAAATCAATGTGTCGGCTTCAGTGAAGTTTTTTGACGGTTCTGTTATTTCCTTCACTTGTTTGGTTTTCTCCTGCCCGATGAATAAATGAGGTTTTTTTTATGTAAAACTGATCTGGGAGCAGCTCAAAGTGTCCTTGAATGAAGCAGCAACATTTAGAGTCCATCAGTTGGTGATAAATGATTGTATTTATCTCAAAGCAATAAAAAACAGATTGTTTTTAATGATTTTGTCAAACTCCATCAGAGTTCACGTCAATGACCTTTCTTGTTGTACCACACGGAGCGCTGGTGAATCACTGGTCAAAAATCTACTGGACTGAGCACAGACATATATAAAATACAGTATAATGTACATAATGTCTATGAGACTGCGGGTAACACTTCCACGTGGCTTTAATGACGGAGTTTGACCAACTACATGTGAAACAAAGCTTTAAGTTGCCAAAATAAGATGGAGACGTTCTTCAGACTGTTTGAAACAGTGGAACAAACCCTTCAGACGGGTTCTTTCGTCTCTGGTCCATCTTAGTTTCTGTAAGAAAAGCAGATAACATCTCTCCAAAGTAACATTTGCACAATCAGAAGGTTTTATTGTGTAAATAAAAAGTGCAAGTCTTATCTGGAAGCAGCTGGTCATCAGGACTCCATCACTGTGTTTTCCTTCTTTTGGCTTTTAAGTTCAGGAAGGCTGTTTTATTAAGTTTTGTTTCTGTTTAATTTATATATATATTTATATATATTTATACAGGTCCTTCTCAAAAAATTAGCATATTGTGATAAAGGTCATTATTTTCCATAATGTAATGATAAAATTGAAACTTTCATATATTTCAGATTCATTGCACACCAACTGAAATATTTCAGGTCTTTAATTGTTTTAATACTGATGATTATGGCATACAGCTCATGAAAACCCAAAATGCCTGTCCCAAAAAATTAGCATATTTCATCCCACCAATGAAAGACAAGTGTTTTTAATACAAAAAATGCCAACCTTCAAATAATCATGTTCAGTTATGCACTCAATACTTGGTCAGGAATCCTTTTGCATGAATGACTGCTTCAATGCGGCGTGGCATGGAGGCAATCAGCCTGTGGCACTGCTGAGGTGTTATGGAGGCCCAGGATGCTTCGATAGCGGCCTTAAGCTCATCCAGAGTGTTGGGTCTTGCGTCTCTCAACTTTCTCTTCACAATATCCCACAGGTTCTCTATGGGGTTCAGGTCAGGAGAGTTGGCAGGCCAATTGAGCACAGTAATACCATGGTCAGTAAACCATTTACCAGTGGTTTTGGCACTGTGAGCAGGTGCCAGGTCGTGCTGAAAAATGAAATCTTCATCTCCATAAAGCTTTTCAGCAGATGGAAGCA